GGTCCCCGTTCAACTTATTCTTCATAAAATAAGCCTACAAGGATTAAGTTTCCACCTCCTTTGGGCCCCTCCCCCCAGCATTAAATAAAGGGGGGACGGTAGAAGAGGACAGGTGTTATGGGACCGAGAACACAGATTTACCAAAGCAAAGAGAGGGTGGGGGGAGGGAGGAATTATCTGGGAGAAGGAGACGGGGAATCAATCAGAATTAGGTAGCTATTTGCACCTATAATACAAAGTGAAGAGTTTGTTTTTTGGAAGTTAAGTCCCCGGTCGATCTGGTTCCACTGGCACTGGCGTGGTGGGAACAGATGTCTGGCGGTGGTTCTGAAGCATTAAAAAGTGCAGTTAGAGGCGCCGGGAGGGGTCGGTGCGCCGGTGTTAGGGGAGGTGAAGTGTGGTGGACGGGGGTGGGAATGGAGGGTCTCTCTTAGCTCGTCGTCTCGCGCCGGCCTCGCTCTCGAACGCCACCCTTCAGTTGCTACAACACTGGCTCTTGTTCTGCTGGGTCTGCTCGTGGAGGTCCACCCCTCGGTTCCGTCCCGCCACGCCACCCGTGCTCTGGGGCTCGCTCTTTGGCAGCTTCTTGGCTGGTGGAAAGAGAGAAGAGAGAGTGAGCGAGGCTGACGGAGAGGAGCAGCTCCCCTCCCTGCCCCTGGGACCCCGGTCACCTTCCGCCCAGGCCGGTTCTCAGATGGCCCATTTCTGAGACTCAAATCTGGATTTCAGAGCCATCTCGCCACTGCCCCCACCACCACTCGGCTCTCTGGGGAACCCAGCTCCTGTCCTGCTGCATCCCCACGGCCCTGGAGAGCTAGCCAGCGCCAGGAGAGCTGGCTGGAGTCGCTCCCGTGCCGGTCCTGCTGCACAACCGATCCTTACTGGCGCCATCCAGGCCAGAAGGAGCCAGCCGAGCTCCCAGGGCCTTCCCATGGATACGGAGAGTTGGGAACGTCCCAGGCGACGCAGATTCTGCGCAAGCAGCAGCTCCCAGGCCTTTTGTTTGCACACATGGATTTGAAGGCACTAAAGACCGAGGTGCTAAGGAAATCAGAAACGAGGCAGCCCTGGAGCTGCGAGAAGGAGCCAAGGTTTCAGCCGGCTCCATGACCAAGCAGGGACGTGGAAGGTCTCCGCGGGCTCAAAGACCCAGCAGCCTAATCTGTAACCGCAAAGAACAGCCTAGCACTTCCCCAATGGAGAGCGTCGTCACAGGTCCCCTCGAGCCTTCCAACGCTAACGCTGCTTCAACACGGAGCTCCACGTGAGCCCAGCACCAGAGCCGGATGGCAGATCACTGCTTGCTTCTCTACTGAAGATGCAGCAGTCCAGCTCCTCCCCCCACAGAAACGCCTTCAGTAACCAGGTTAACATCCACAGCCCTGTGGTACTGGAGCAGGACAGGAAGGGGGGCTCCAGCCCTCCCCATGGACTGCATGAATCAGTGTCTCTACAGAGCTTGGGGGGGGAAAACTGCCTCCCACAGCCACCTGGTGCGGCACTCCCAAGACAGGAGCCTGGTGGACCTGCAGCCTGCCAGGGCACCTTCTGCCTATCTCCTGCCGCACCCACACCTTACCTATTGCCAGGAAGAGATCGTTAACATTCATCGCGGTCTTGGCCGACGTCTCCATGAACAATAGGCTGTTGTCATCTGCATAGGCTTGTGCCTCCTGTAACAGAGATGCAAGTTCCACTGTTCAGGGGGGTTCCCGCCTGGAGGGGGTGGGAAGGGTGAGTGGCGGCCAGACCCATCAACGAGGCCCTTTTACAAGCAGACAGTCCCACCTCTACACAAGAGGCCGAGGTCCTGTGCTATGCAGCTGAGCCAGCGGCTCCAGAGACGGACCCTTAACCCCGACTGGGCTGGAGGCAGGAAGCAGCAAACTCCGCTCTATTGGAGGCTTTGCAGGGCCTCGGCTGTGCTAACAGGCCTGGCTAGCTGCCCGACGGAAGCAGCGATCCACCTCGAAGGGTGGGTGGAGGACGCCCCTGTGCCGCTCCAAGGGGCTGCCGACGCTCCTGGGCGGGTTAGATTCCAGGGGGGCTGCTCCCCCTTCCCAGCGCAGCCCCCACACTCAGATTCTGGGAGAACTTGACAGAGCACGTGTCCAATGGACCCATGAGCTGCTTGCTGGCCGACCCCGGCCAGAGCCGAGACACTCCCGTGCTGCTGCAGCTAGATGCCAAGAGGCTTTCAAAGGCCAGGGGCAGAATTCAGGTGGTCACAGGGGGCTGGGTCACCACAAACCCCAGCTACTCACTTCATATTCTACCATGCGCTTGTTGGCGAGGTCGGCCTTGTTGCCCGCTAGGGCTATGACAATGCTGGGGCTGGCTTGCCGCTGCAGCTCTTTCACCCATGTCTTCGCTCGGGCAAATGTTTCCTGGAAGGGAAAGGCGAGAGAGGACAGCGTAAAGTCAGTGACCTGCCAGGTTCTGGGCGGCCAAGCTAGAAACAGAACCTGGCCTTACCCTGAGACCATCCTTCCCCCTAGAGTGGGACAATTTCACCCCCTCTCCATTCCCCCCGGCACCAGGACAGCTACAGGAGAACTCTCAATGTACCTGGTTGGTGATGTCATAGACCACAATGGCAGCTTGTGCCCCCCGGTAATACATGGGGGCCAGACTGTGATATCGCTCCTGGCCAGCCGTGTCCCAGATCTCAAACTTGACTGTTGTGTCATCCAGGCAGACGGACTGTGTGAGAAACGCCGCTGTGGAGAGGAAAGGAGGCAGTGGTACAGTAGCACTCAGCCCGGCGCATAGGGCAAGAGAGCCCCTGCCCTGGAGAGCTGTCAATCTAAGTAGATTGACAGGCAAAGCCCAGGAGGGGAAGTGACTGCCCAAGGGCACGCAGCAGGTTGTGGGCAAAGCCAGGGCTCCTGACTCCGAATCTAGGACCTTGGAGCATGCTGCCTCTCTAGGCATTGTTCACACAGGAGCAGGTTAATCATTTCAAGTTTGGACATTAACATTCACCCCCTATTGCTGAAACCCTGCTGCTGCGCGCCAGCTGCATGCTTATCCAGAGATCAAAGAGATGGCTCACACGGCGTCTGCAAACGAGAGCCAGTCCTGTGTTCTGGAAGGAGCTGGGGGCTTGTGGCTGCGTCTCCCGACCTGCCAGACGGGGTGGATACAGCCACGTCCAAACAGGAACAGTGTTTGTGCCCAGGCAGGTTGGCACATCCCGATGCTGTCGTGTGGGACCCAACACGAGTCAGCGCGGGATACTGCGACCTACGTTTTCAAGAGGTACTAGCAATCATGTTAAAGGGGGCTTGGTTTTCAGAGGAGCACAGCACCCTTTGGTGTTAAGTTGGGAGCCCTAGCTCCTTTCGAAGACATAAGCCTTCAAGAGCCTGGTTCCATTCCCTGCAGCTTTTGGAGCATGCGGCCCCCCTCGATAAAAAGGCTTTGCACGTGACTTTCAAACCTAACTGACCCGTAAGTCCCCCGGCAAAGGGAGGGAAACGGATACAATGGGGTGGTGTTTGCCCGCAGCAGAACCCAGGAGCCTTGGCTCCCAGTTCCACGCACTAACGAATGTCTATGGATTTGTATGGCCACATGAACGCGCTATCGGTCCCCCCGAGCTAGGGAAAGACAGGCTGAGAGAAGGCAAAACACATTAAAAGGGTTCTACACGAGCCAAGACTGAGCAACCCAGGTGTCAAACCACTGCTGGGCGCTGAAGGAGTCAGGAACACGTCTCCTGGGGGATTCACCCCGTGATCACTCAGCACTTCCTCAGCCCTCCACTACTGCAAGTCTCCAAGCTCTCAATGAAAGCTGGTCCCCACTTTACAGAGGGGGCAGTGACACGTGCACGCAGGCACACAAACAGAGCTCAGGTCTCAGCTCCTGCTTCAGTGCTCTAGCCATTGGACAACCCTGCCTCACTGCCCATTATACAGACAAGCCACCTATTAATCCAAGATGCATCGTGCGATCTTGCCTCAGCCACGATCTGAGAATTGGCTGTACCATCTTCACACGCACTATGGGATTCTTTCAGGCAGCTGTGACTTGCTGACGCTCATCCTTCTACATACAGCGAGGCTGCAGGTAACTCTGGAAGGAGCATGGATTCATTACGCCAACTAGCGCTGAGCCTCAGCCCTGCTACTCACTTGGGTCCCTCTGAAGGCGCGACAGGCCTTGGGCGGCTCCCAGTGACAAGACAGGGTCTGACGTGGCCAGCCGAGGGCAGCTGGGCCCTCATCAGGTGGGGAGCGAGGGAGCCAGGCGCTCCAGAGGACTGTGGGGAAGTCTGCGTCTACCCCCCAGGCACACTCCCCCGCGCTCGCGCACAGCACTTACCCCCAATGGTGCTCTCCTGGTATTCGTGGAACTGACCCTTCACGAAGCGCAGCACCAGACTGGACTTCCCCACCGCGGACTCGCCCAGCAGCACTAGCTTAAACTGACAGATTTTACTAGCTTGGGACTGACCATTCGGCCTGGCGGTTCCTCTGCCGGTCATGGCCTGGATTCCGGTCACACCCGGCGCCCCAGCGGATCCAAGAACCTGCGTGCCACTGACCAGCTCTTGGCTTGGTTCGGAGCCAAGGAACGGTATCCTAGTGGCTCAACTCTCCTGAAACACAAGGGGGGGGGGGGGGGAGAGAATCAGCACACGGCACAGATCCCACACTCCCGAGCTGGAAGATGTTAACTCGGTTGGACTGAGCTGCCTTCCGCTCCAATCATACAGAAGCCGAGTGCAGCAGAAAGCACTTATTACCCTACTAAGCCCCAAACAGCCCCACAAGAGGGACTGTCCCCAATTTACAGCTCAGTAACCGCCCTGCATACCACACACAAGGGCGAGCGAGGAATAGAACCCGGGAGTCCGACGCGCCTGCTGCACCTCCTAGGCCACGCTCCCTTTCCTGCCAAGAGCGCCGATCTCCCATACATTAAGGTAGAGAGGCCCGCGCCCCGGAGCCTCACTGGTGGCTGAGCTTTAAGAAGTAGCACGCTGACAAGCAGAAATCGGGCCAAGGAGGGAAAGGAAAAGCCGGAGCCTTACAGCTGAGCGAGTGAGTCAGCAGTCCTAGCAGATGTCTCACTTGCATTCCTGGAGATGTAGCAAACAGCTCCTGGCTAGGAACGCGCACTGCACCATGTGGTACCAAGGGCCAGGGCTGAGGGGCAGCGCCCCTGACCTGTTCTGGGACGGGGCAGGGGATTCAAGAGCTCTCCGTTACGCAGCAACAAGCTCAGGCCCCGTTTGCAGCCTGCGCACATCTGTTCTGTTTACTGCCAGTGGCCTGAAATTCCACATCATCCTGTCTCCCCCTCCCTCCCCCGGGTCTCTGGGGGCAGGACGGAGGGACTGAACTATTTCATCACTGCCCTTCTGAAGGGAAATTCTTAAGTGAGGGACAGTTTGATCAATTTTTGTTTATGTATTTGGAGATCCCCATTCACCTGAGCAGTACAGGCACACCGCCTCCACACAAGGGCTATCGGCAGACCGCATTCCCTGCCCAGTAACCCCCACCCCTTTTAAGGCCTTCCCTCTGAGAAAGCTCTGGCACAGGTCTGCACCAGAGTGAAACTGACGCAACGCTGGTCAGTTTCACATGGCCACTCCCCATGGCCAAAAGTTGTTCTCCCCCAAGCCAGGCAATGGGTGCAAAGAACCATACTGCTGCGAGTTCTCAGGAGGAACCTGTGGGGAGACAGACGGTTCGCTACACCCAGAGCTGGGCTGGTTTAACTTAAACCAGTCTAACCCCACTTAGTTAGACCAGCGCCAGAGGCTGCGGGAACAACTTACTGCAGTTTAAGTGAAGTCAACTAGGAACAGGTTTAAACTAGCCCTAAAGAAGCCACTGAAACCTGAAGCATCCAAAGGTTCGCACTAGTTTAGCAAAAGTGGAACATGTAGAGTCAATACTAGAGATCCTATTTCAAGTGGTGGCCAGTGGTGGGCGGAGGGGGTTAACCAGGTAGGGACAGAACCGGAATAGATTTTAATTGAAATAGGACACTAGCTGCATCACAGAGGCGTGAACTGCAGACTCTTGTTTTGGTTCCAGTTTGTGTGTAGCCAACGCCTCCGGTCTGCCAGCGGCTGTGAGCTGAGGTCCCTAAGGTCTCTCAGGACTTCAACTCAATCCTTTGTTCAATGCACTAGGAGACTGGGAGAAAGGATTCCTTCGACCGGATGTGAAATGCATTTTAAGACCTCAAAACACATGCATGCTAGCGATGCCTCTTTACTAGAACCCCCTTAGAAAACAACGGCTGCCGAACTGTGTTAATTCAAACAACTCTACATCTGCTTTGGGACGTTAGTAACTGCAAAAAAGATATCGGGAGCAATGGAAGAAAACGGCATTAAACCTCAGAGTGTTTTATTTCACCATGTAACAGATTCAATTAAGTGATGCACATCTTAGCCCTTTATTCCAGTGGATTCGTACCCCTAGCGATGAGTCAGGGGAAGTTTAGCAAAACGAGTGGTGGTTGGTTTGCCTACCAACTCTCCGGAGCCCATTTCTGGATTCCATAGCCAGCACTAGTGACCTTGGAGCCAAGGGCAGACGGGTTTCTCAAATGCAGGCAACTGGGCCAGGATTTTTCCAGAAGAGTCCTGATTGTGGCTATCAAATCCGAGACACCTTCAAGAGACCCAACTCAGAGGCTGTGCGCTCAGGTCCCTTCGAGACCTCTCAAATCAGACACCCCAAAATCACCAGCCATTTCTCAGTCTCTCAGGCCTTTCCTTCCGTGTTCACACCCTAAAGGAAGCACTTCCAGGCCTTGAGGGGAGAGAGCAGCTCCAAGTCTGGTGTGTTATAGGGAAGATCTGTTAGCATTAACAGGGCCAAGTCTACACGAAAACAAGGGTCACCTAAAGACTCTCCAGCGAGCAGCCAGGAAAAGCCTGGTCATTTCCAGCTCCCCAGCTGCTTCGAGACAAGCAGACTAAAGGCCAAAATCTGGCAGGAAACGCTAAATGTAACCACTGTGATTTGTACAACTCCAATGCCGGGCAGCCCGATACTTCCCAGCCCCAAGGAAGAGGGACAGTCACCATTTTATTTTTCTAAAGCAAGAATCCAGGAACAATGTGACAAGGTTTCAAAGCCCATAATGGCCAAAGCTATCTGGTAGCAACCCAAGTACTGCATGTTCAGCTTTCCTGGAGCTGAGCTGGCTAAAGGCAGGGAAATGCTTCCTTCCGCTTTCCGAGGACCTTGTTTTGTTAAATATGTAAGAGGAATGATTAAGCAATGACCTCGTCAGCATCCTATGAGAGTTTCCTGGGGAGAGTCCTGCGTGATTCTGGAGAAGCAGCCGGCACAAGCCAGAGTGCTCTGATGCTTAGCAGCCACTCTCTGCTTTGCTTGTCCAGGAAAAACGCAGCCGGGTTAGAGCTTCAAATTAGGCCAGACACAGATGGGGAGAGTTCGATACAGAGGGAGCAATATGAGGGTTTAGCAACTACAATTAGGCCAGATTTGAAAGTCCTCAGCGCCTCCCATTGGGAGCCGATCTCTTTTGGAAGTCCGGCCCTTGGGGTCAGAAGACTATTGGGCTTCTCCAACTGAAGACATTCCCACTGCTTGTCCCCAAGGGTGAATTGCTGGTCACCCCACCCTCTATCTCAACCTGCCAATCACTGGTTAGTTACAGCCCTTTGTATGCTGGCTTAAGCAAGCCACAGAAGGACATTTCAGAGCAACAGCCTCATTGCAAAGCCTGCCACCACAGACCCTTATAGGCCATCCGCAAAGGGTGGCTTGTTTGGGTTTTTAAATGGCTTTGCCTTTGAAGGCTTCCGCAGAAATCAGGAACCTTGTCTGGCCTTCCCTCCATGCTGGAGGTCTGAGCTCCCGCAAAACACAAAGGTGTTGTCTCTCCCGAGCGCGGATTAAATATTGGGTAGCAGGTGAAAAAAAGATGCTGTAACCATTCTAACAAAAATCCCTTCTCCTCAATTGCTGCAGCTTTCACTTGCTTGTGATGTGCTCATTTCATTCGTTCCCCGAGTCACCGCAGTCTTCCAGGGTGGGTGGACAGGAAAGTCGAACAAAGACACTTTTCAGATTCTTCCACAGCATAAGGATGCAGACACAAGGCAAGTTACCCACCTCCTCACTGCAGCTCAGGTCACCTAAGTGCCTAATACCAGAGAAAATTGTCATCTTCCAACAATTCTCTGCACTCAGACAGGGCCTTCCAAAACCGAGGATCTCAAAGCACTTTACAAACCAAGCTGAATTAAGCCTCCCCATGCCCCCGGGAGTAGCACCCCTATTTCAGAGAGGAGGACAGGAAAGCACAGACATGAAGTCGCTTGCAAGTCTGGCAGAGACGTGTGTCAGGCATAAGAACGTTTGACCTGCACGCTATTTCGCACGATAGCTCCTGAGAGCTTCTTCTGTTACGTGGGTTTCCCTCCCCAACAAGACCAAGCTTCTTCATAGTGTGTGAAAGTGAGGTGTGTACACATGTGCGTAAACACATCACAAGAATAGACAAGCCGACACAGCTCATGGAGGTACCCAGAAAAGTTAGAAATCCTGTTGTACTGTTGGTGTCCAGAGACCAGGGACTGGCATGAGATGGGAAGCTGAATACAAGTGCTAAAGCCGCTCTAAAGACGTCTCCTCTGCATCGTGCCGAACAATGAGGCGCTGTTCTTGGATGGTCCCTAGCCACCGCTGTAACACACACCATCAATACAACCCCAGGATAGCTCCAGGAACTCACCCCCCCCGTGCAATCAGAGTAGTTGATCCGTCCATCCACTCATATTCACTAAATACAGATCTCCATCGCAACAGAAACTTCCACCAATAGCAAGAATGAATTTAACTCGAAGAAATTCAATCAGAAAAGCCCTCCTCTGAAGCAAGGGGGCTCCTACAGATCAGGGGCTGTACCCCACACCAGCCCCAACATGCTATAAAAACTCCATAGCCCAGCTGTGCCACCACAACTGGTTTTCTGCATATAAAAGCCAGGGCCGGTGTTAGGGGGTAGCAAGGAGAACAATTATCTGGGGCCCCCCACCACAAGGGGCCCTGCAAAGCAAAGTTGCTCAGGCTTCGGCTTCCACCCCAGCCCTGGTGGTGGGGCTCAGGACCCCGGGCTGCAGTCCCACGTGCCGGGACTTTGGCTTTCTGGCCTGGGCCCTAGCGAGTCTAATGCCAGCCATGCTTGGCAGACCCCCTGAAACCTGCTCCTGGCCCCCCAGGGGGCCCCAGACACCTGGCTGAGAACCACTGCTATAGATTATAGAGACACCTTTCTTTAAAAGGCTACTGCCCACATTTAGCGCTCTTTCACTGACTACCTGCATTACTAATATTAAACATCTGTCGGAACCACAATTACTGTCCAGAAAGTTACTTACCAGTCAAAGCAAAACGTTTTCAGTAAGCAACTAACAGCTGGCTCGGAAATCGATGACCCCCCCAGAGTGGTAGTGACTTACACATCACAACCCTTAGCTTGCACAAGTTACAGTAAAGGTGTTCTAGCAGCAGGCAGCACAGCTTCAACTTGGCAGCCAACCAGTCAGACTGTGCGCCGACCTCTCCGCTGCCAATATTAGAGATTCGGGAGGCAGTTTGGCTGACCGTTGTGTTACCCCGAGAAGGGGAGCAGGGCTCCTCAACAGCCGGCTCTGATGCACTGAGCAAGTTCAACTTCTTTTGGACAGTACAGGGTGAAAGACTTGGGAAAGATCCGCACAGCCCAGCCCTTACAGATTCCTTGCCCCCTAGTACCGGCACTGAAAGGAGGAATACGTGGCCTAGGGAGCTAGCTAGATATCCACCCTTGGCTCAGACCATCCCCGGTTTCCCTGCACTGCCTTCCGCGGGGTCACGGCAGGGCTGAATGCGATCCATTACAATTCAGTCATTAAGAGCTTCAATAGCAGAACTTGGTTTCAGGGAAGGGCCTGCTCAGGAGATCCCCCCAGGAGTTGGAGTTGCAACAGCCTGTCTGGGTTAACTGCTTTCCTGTTGCCAATGTTACTTTTCCTATGTCTTAATCACATACAACATAAGCCACTGCCATCAAAACCGCCTGCCTGGGTTAAACCTGCCGTCAGCCCTCTTTCCCCCACCCTGCTTTATTACCTAGCCGGACAGCGAAGAGGATGCCCTTGCAGACCTGGATCCTACCCTGACCACCCGATATTTGAAAGCCTGAAACCCGGGAATTACAGAGCCGACCCCTGGTGCAAAGCCGAGTCGTGCGGAACCCCATTC